GCAGGCAAGAACAGGTGTGTTTAGGTCATCATATGGAGTGTGTTTAAATCAGCTTCTCCACACTACGGCTTTTCTGATGAATTGTTTTTCAACAGATTTATCATGTTGTAGGAAGGCTCTTATGTGGCAGCCAAAATGCAGGATGTCTCCAAGTTCACTGATCATTCAAATTGATAGTTGGTTCCTGTTGTTGGCTTATGACAACTACTGCTATCTTGTGGGTAGCTACCATGACAAAATTAAACCTGACAAGGATTCTTGGAAGATGCAGCTGGGATGTGTTAGCCAAGATATATTAAGGAAGCACTGATTTAAGAGTGAATGCCATCCAAGCATTTGCTGTCATCTTTCACTGTGAACAAATGAAGCAAGGGGTTTCCTGATTTATTAGACACACTGTAAAACACAAATGGTGAAGACCTGATGATGGTGGTTCTTTATTTTAAACCCCGATGTTAAGCTGTATTTGCTGTGTGGCTTAGGTAGAAGTAAAAGACTAAAAATGTATGGAAGTATTGAACCTGAATCTGCAATTAAGGAGTAGAAAAAAAAATTGGTGAGAACCTAAAGCAAGAACAGGCCATCTCTATGTAAACATATCTGATGATGTACAAGATGGAAGACAGCAGTTCCTGAATGTCCAGCATATTGTGAAGATTACTTAAGGCGGAAATCATTTTCAACAATTTCATTGAGATGTTTTTAGGTTTCCATCCTCTGTATCATACTAATTCCCTATAAAATCAATAGGTGAGCAATCACGTATAGGTTTGTCCTATTACAGTGAATTTGAATATTATGGACCTTTAGATCTAAATATCAAACAAGGCCAAATAATAAGATATATAAAACTCAGAAGTAAAGGGGGTTTGAAATTTACAAAGCTTATTTAAAGAGGCTAGTGTAGAGAATATATCTCAAAATTGTTAAGGAAATAGAAACCCAAAGTAAAAATATGACTTGGATACTTATTTCTAATTACATTTTCCCATAATGAAAATCATGTGAGGAAGATACAAGTTTCTCTAGGATTTTTAATTCATAAAGCTTAAGACTACAGAAGCTAAAAACAAGAACAAATAATCACACACACAAAAATCCAGCCTAGAATAAGAATCTTTTTGGAGTGTGAAGTTCTTTACACCTGATTTGTCAGCACTACAATGTTTCATAAATCCCTGTTTTTAAATTAATTTTGATCAGGTCTAAACCACGTTTCCTGAATGAGTATAAAAAAATAATCTCTGTTGGAATTTATTTCTAAACAAAGCATAACATCTTTTTCAGCACTGAACAGGATTTCAGACTTTTTACTTTATGTAAAGAAGTCAATAAGTATATTGACAGAAGGCCTAGAACAGCCGGACCCAGAAGAGTTATACAATATTGCATTTTAATAGCTTGTTAACAGGCAAATGGCAAAAAGAAATAGGATTTAAATGTAAAGTTAGATTAAAATAAAATGAAATTTAATTTAATAAATTTAATAAAATTAAATATTTCCTGTTCAAATATTTCCTATTCAAAAAGCGTTTACATACTATTAACTGGAGTGCTGCTTTGTTTTATCCTACTTTTGCCAAAGATAAGGCTCTTCCCTCTTCATTTCCTATATTTCTCCCCAGCCCAACATGCCACAAATATTCCTTTTGATTCTTGTCCATGAAGTTTTCTTAAGAAATAGATAGATTCATGGAACATGTAGTATCACACAGTGGCGCAGTGGTTAGAATGCAGTACTGCAGGCTACTTCTGCTGACTGCCGGCTGCCTGCAATTTGGCAATTCAAATCTCACCAGGCTCAAGGTTGACTCAGCCTCCCATCCTTCCGAGGTGGATAAAATGAGGACCCAGATTGTTGGGGCAATATGCTGACTCTGTAAACCACTTAGGGCTGTAAAGCATTGAAAAGTGGTATATAAGTAAGTGCTATTGCTATCACTGAGCATGTAGGACTTAATCGGGACAATCCTGTTGTGGAAGACTGCCTTTCTTTGCTGCAAGGGACAATGGCACACAAATACTTCTCCTTTTAACTACCAGCATTTATAGCAAATACCAATAACAAATAATCACTTCAGTGTGATTCCTTTATGCCAGTTAAAAGGCAAGGAAGGAAAAGAGGAAGCTTCCCAAAATCTCTTTAAAAGTCTGTTGCAGAAGAGACAGAATACAGAGGAAGAAAATCTTTATGTTGGTCAAGAGCATACAGCCTGAAGTCAAAGGTAAAGGAGGGGAAAAGATATTTCAGTTAGCTGGGGTATCTCCATGAGCATTCAGAAAATAGAGGGGAAATCAACATTTGCCAAATTGATGTGAGCTTTGAATAAAAAGAACAATCACAACTGTGGGTTTATAGCAATGTGGAAATGTTGCCAATCCATTTGGGTGAAAACAGAATTCTGAGATGTGTGTGCCTTAAACTTATTTAACAAGATGCGGCAGTGTTTACTGAATAGGGTACTATTAAGCTAAATAATGTAGCTCTGCTTTCTCTTCCTTCTAGAAAGATTTTACTGGTATTGAAGTAGCAAGCAGCAGAGAAGAGAAGCCGTTTTGGTAGAAGTGGCTTCAATTCCTGATTTAAGATTGAGAATGCTGGGGCTGCTTCTGAAAGAGAAAGGCTTGCCTTGCCAAGAGTCAAGAGCTCCACTACATTTTGTGCCGTCCTAGCTGCGGTTTAGGCAGGCAGGAGTTAATGCCTGGGCTCTGTGCAGTGGCAGGTGGGTGGTCCCAAAGCCATCAGTCTCTCTGGAAGGCAGACCGGGAAGCACTGTGGAGTAGAATGAGGGCCCAATGAGAAACAACCCCTTTGCCTTGACAAGGCTGGGCTCCCCCAACACATGGACCGCCAGTGCACTGATGCCGTGTCACAAGACTTACATCTATAGCAGACAGAAAAAAGCAAGGCAGCTGACTGGGGTAAGCGTGTGCATGGGTGTGCAAATGGGTAATTGTCTCTGCTTTAGGAAAAGCTGCAATTGCTTGGCACTCTTTCTGTGTCACAATTACATCTAGTGTGCTGGGTCTGGGTCTTAATCACGGGAGTCCCATGTGCTTGTTCTTTCTGTCATAGGCATGCTTGGTGTGACATATCTTTATGTCCAGCCATCGGCGGGCTTTGCTTTCCACCTCTGCCTACTGTCTGTAACTGTAGTTTCCCAATAGCTTATTTTTTGGCATAGAGGATATTATGCTAATGTTTTTCTTAGTGTTGGGATGGAAGAAATAGCTCCTTTGAAGGATTTAGTGTAGAGGCCAGAAGGATAATAGTCTAAGGATTTTGTAAGCTTATTTATGGGCATCTCTCTTGTCTTCTGATCTCAGATGTTCATCATTCTGTCAAATGTGCATTCAGGAACTGGATTTTCCCTGATGCAAGTAGAGTGTCCATACGTAGATGAGCCTTAGTGTTCCTTAATGTTCCCAAGTGAAAAATGATACAGTTTGTGTCTAGGATGTATTCTGGACAGATTGTACTGGTTTGGAATTACAGGGGTAGATACCTGAGTTAAAGGCTGTGACTGTTAGTTTGACCGCTATTCAGATAGAAACTTGGGTGTAAGATTTTCTAAAGAAGCAATAGTTAATAGTCTATGGCAATGTAACTTGCTGTTTGTCAAGAGTTTAAACTTCTGGGGTGACGGACATTATATCACCAAGAGCAAAAGAATTTCCTTTTTTTGGAGCAAAGGTTGAAACCAATTAAAGGTAGGCAAGATATTGGAAATTTGGACCATTTTGAATTTATCCTGTTTTGAGCATAATGTTGCTGCCATAATGATAACACTCCCCCCCCTTCTCCTCAGACGTTTTAGATTATATTGGAACTGTTTCAAACTTAAAATGGAGCGTTTCATACATCCACCCATATGACTCAGTGTAGAGGACAAAATTTGAGATTAAACACTCAGTATAGCTGTTGTCACCTGTGGGAACTTGATTGCTCCATTCTTGCAGACCCAGACTGCACTTCTGTAAAAATTATTGGTTTAATACTGGCACAAAGTAAAGCAGGAAAGAACACCCATAGGATGCTTTCATTTGAACTAGGCACAGATGCATTTAATCTGTAGAAAGATGCCTTTATTATAGTCCAAGGCAATATTGAGTGATAAGGTTAACTGTCCCATAAGCAAGTGGGAAGTTGGAAGTGGGGGAAATGAATAGTTTTAGAAATGCATGAATTTACTTTATTAGCAGCTATGAAAGAGAAGAGAAAATGAGATGCTGAGAGTTTTGTGCTGCTGAAGAATTTTAGAAAAACCATTATTACTTCTTGAGAAGTACTATAATCCACTCTCTGAACCTCAACTGATTGGAAAGTTTATGTATATACTTTGCTGATCTATACAGAATTTGACTCATTTGCTGTTTCTGGGCTAGTAGAGCTGTATGCATATATGTAAGTTTAGATGTCAGTGTAGAATAGAACAGGGAAATCAGATTTCAAACTTGCTTGGGTTTGCTCTCTTGCTCCAAAAATATTTGGAGGTGGGAATTATAAGAAATACGATAGATTTTGGTTAGAATCAGGGAAAACTAAGAACTGTTCAACAATGGTGCTATATTGACTACCACCTGTCACAGTGGATCCCCTCTTTGCTGGTAGCGATTAAACAGAGTCATCTAATAGAGGTTTGTTGCGTTGGGTAGCAGACTGGATAAGATAAACTCTAAGGCAGGGGTATCAAACTCAATTGTGTTGAGGGCTGCATCAGGGTTATGTTTGACCTGGGAGGGGGAGCGTGGCTAA